GTTTCTCTCACTTTAGAATTTGCATCAGTTAGGCCTTTTCTTACACATTTTTCCAATAATTCAGCACCACCAGTTCGTTCAATCACATCTTTTCTATCGCAATGTGATTGAATTACGGTTTTTGCAAATCCAATAGCGAAGCTTCGAAGTTGCATGTTTTTTTCTTCCATTGCATGCCAAATTTGATTGATAAGGCGAGAATGATATGACGTATGTTTTAATAATGCGTTTGCTGAATTAGCAGCTGCCTGTGCAACAATTTTTTTGGCTGAAGAAGTCATTCTGATGAGATTAGCTAGTAAATTGTCCGCAAACGGATCGATGGCGGGTCCTAAGTGTGTTGCTAAGTCTTTGATAAGACCAGCACTTGCTAAGGTAAGTGTCGTACGCAAACTAGAAAGCTATTTAATTTCGGAAACAATGTTTAAATTGTATTATGCAGTCAAAATTTAATTATAATTATAAATTATAATAATAATAATTATAATAAAGGAAAAGTACTCTATCGAAATTTAGCATACCGATTTCAATATGCCATCCATCAATAATTTTATTCCATTAATAAATTGTTCAGGAAAACTTGTATAGGCGTCTCCCCTAGTCAATGAACGTAATCGATTTATGCCACGTTCACGGGCCAACCAATTTTGTTCTGATTCTCTCCCTTGAAAAGAAGATAATAAAGTTTGGAATTCTCTTTCTAGTTCTTTTGCGCTATCAACCTAAATACAAAATATAATTGATCCATGAATCATTTATATGAGGATTTTAATTAGCATTTACTTACGTTTATCACACCAATTTCACTATCAGCAGAACTGGTAGGTCTAACTAATGAATCTATGGATTTCGCAGTATCTTCATTCCCTGTTCCACTACTAAAATAATCCTCTTCCGTTATTTCAGTTCCAGCATCTGTGTGATTATCGGTATTATCGTATACACTATTACGTTCACTATGCCCATCACTTGATGGGCTGGTCACAATTTTTGAAAGTATATAATCGACTATTCCAGAACGAATTGACTGTTCTTTAAGTTCACGCTTTAAGTCTGATTTAGCGTGCGATGCGGCACCACTATAAATTACACACATGAAAAAAAACATGTGAGAAGGATAGCATACCTTTATAAAAATTCAAAAATTTTTTTTTATTCTTACCTGAAAAGTAATGTTACAGTATCTTTTGCCGTTTCCCTCACTTGTTCATGTGGATCTTCGAGCAGCTTAACCATGTATGGTACCCAATGTCTTATAGGAAAATCTGATATTTTTTTTGAACATACAGCAATCCATTGTAAAATCTACAAACCATACAAACCATTCGCATCAAAATTAATAAAGTAATTCGATAAATATAAGTGTTATTCTGATTTATAACATTATAATTATCCACCTGCTCACGAACTCTCCATTGTCTATGTCCAA